CCCGACACTCAGTGAAAAAGTCGCCCAGCCGAGGCCAAAAGCCAAGTCACACAGACGAATTGTGCGGCCCAATGTCAGGTCCGGATTGGTGGAGTTTCAGGGCTAAGAAAACTTTTTTAAAAATAATAAACACATAAAAAGTTAAACCATTAAATAAAATAAAATTTCAATTTAAAAAAAAAGAATACATATATTTTCCTGAATAATTGTTACACCTTCTTTTAAATTTGTGTAAGCTAGGACTATTCTTCTTTTTTTATAATTAACTCTTTTTTTAATTTTTTATGATATAATTTTAATAAAATCATCTAAAAAGTGTAACAAAATCATCAAGCAAAGCTTAAGACTAAGACTAATTTTGTTTAATATGAAATATTTGAACTAATTTATTTGAACGACTAAAAATGAAATTATTTTATTAATATAATCTGCAATGGTTTTAAAGCTATATCGTTTTAAGTATTATAATATTATTTTCAAAGTATGTGGCTTAATATAAGTTTGAAATTATGCAATAAAATTGTATATATCCAGACTTAAACCTTGGAAAGTCCGCTCCTGCGAGATGGTCAGTCGGCCAGTTCGTCAGCCCGCTTTCGGTGACGTTGACTAGTGTCAGCCATTTTGCCGGAGCTGGAGTGCCAGTACTGCCACAATGGCAATATGCCCGACCATTGTGGCCCGACTCTCCGCTGCGTTACCAACTTCTGCTGCCGGCTCACCAGCTTCTGTGTCTCTCAGCTGCCGCCGCTGCTGTAGCTTTTGTTTTTAGCCATTGTTAGTGGATCGCTGGTGGTGCTGGTGCTTCTGCTGCCTTTGCAACATTTGAATGATTCTCGTTGGTCGTGTCAGTCCCACGGGTAATTATTGACACGGTTGTATGCACGCAGCCCAAAAAGCAAGCACACACAGTGAAATGTACAAAAGCAGGCGGCGTGTTGCTTTGCCACGCGAAATAATAAAAAACCAACTCCACTCGAAATAATAATGAAAATGTCGGTATTTGCCTCGAGGAGGGGTTTTCTGTTTCTCTCTATATAGATATAGTTATACAGGGGAGGGTGTGCTGGCGTGTAGGGGGTGTTGCCGCTGTCGCACTTGGCACGCACGGTAACATTAAAACCAATGAAAACTACAACTTGCCCTCGTATATTAGTGGTTTCTTTTATCATCAAATAATGTGGAATGTGTTTTAACTATGGACTCTATAAAAAGGTAGTATTACTTTCATTAGGCAGGGGACAAATAAAGATATGAAACTATAACATCCATTCATTAAAATAAAGCATTAAAGGTTAATTAGTCAGTACTTGGAGCATTTTAACCATAAAGAAGATTTAAAATTATGGAGGGGGCTAATCATTAAATATATATGGAAATTCCTTAAATAAAATATTTTAGGCATTGGAAATATATTTATAATAAAAGCCAAACACTTTATAAATAATTAAATTACATCAAATTTTATGACATAGAATTATATTACACTTCATATTAAAATCAACCAAATCCATTAACTATGATTAATCAGTCAGGAATTTCCCCCAATTTCTTTTGGACAATCCTCCAAAAATCCCATAAATTCTTAAAGCGTATTTCAACTAGCACATGACCATTAAAAACCTTTCCTTTCCGTTTTCCATGTAAAAGTTTATATAGCCCGAGGGGCAGGTTTCATCTACCCGAGTGGGTGTGCGTTTTTTGTGTGTGTGTGCCTCAACTACCCCAAAATGGCAGGTGGCAATAGATAAAGGTATAAATAGGCTTGTGGGCAGCCATGTTGTTTCCCCATTAAATTTCATTTCATTTCGCCGTCTACTTTTTTTTGTTAGAAAATAATTAAGAGAGCATAGAGAATAATTATATGGGTGGATATAAAATACTGTCTATAGATTGTTCAAGTGCATGCAGCGCATCGTGTGGGTGGGTGGTTTTTAGTTTCGGTGTAGAAAATAAAATTTTTAATTTTTATTTTCCATTTTCTGTACGCTTTATTGAAACATTATAAACCACGCGCGCCGCGCCAAAAGTTCAATTCCAACGAAAATAACAACAGACATTTTTGTTTTGTTTAAGCATTAATGCCGTCGCATAAATAAAAATCATTGCACTTGCGCTTCTGTATTATATATTATTGTTATTATGTGTTGTTTGTTTTTGTTATTGTTTTCGCGGCTGTTGTTTATATATTTAAGCCTAAAACTGGCTTTCAATTATGCGAATTTATTTCGCACACAAAAGCGGGTGAGGGCTCGGGATATATTTACAAAGCTGATGCAATTTTTATGCAGAATTACTAACCAATATCATTTCGGTACGAAATTGTTAATCAACATCCAATGAAATATGCATTTAAATTATGAATTAAATGTTAAAAGCGTGCGGTACATTAGATGATGACAATGAGGTGGCAGGGGGCAATGTGCAGATGGAATGAGGCGCATTTAATGATATTTTATGTATTTGTTTTCCATTTTCGGGGCACGTAAAATAATGGGAGGAAGCAAATTAAAGCTATTGGTGGATTCTGAACTCTTTAAATATTAGAAAAATAAGATAAATGAATAAAAATAAATATAGGAAAATTCAAAGATTAAACTATCATACAGAAAATATAAAATTGAATTTAAAGAAATTTTCTTTCCGTTTGCCGAATTAAATAAATCGCTGTTGACCGCGTAAATCTGGTAAATTGTCACTTTAATCGTCCGTCGATTGACGTCGGTTTTTTTTTTTTGACGATTGAGCATTGACCAGGGACAAACAGAGATCCATCAGGTGCTTCCAGCAGCACTTAAGGCCTTATAAAAAGGCAATTTCACGAAATGCCACGCTTTTTAATGGCAACTTTCATTAACGAGCCCAATAACTCGATCTCCGAGGGGTGTTGTTAGTTAATTGCCAATTGCTCGTTCGCTCTCTGACGTAGGCAATCGCATTATAATATGCCCACTTAATTGTTTAATGGCTTTCCGAACACTTTAAGCAAACAAACGAAATTAATAATACGCGCAATTATCGCGGTTCCATCGATATTAACGCCCTATCGTAACCAGCATCTGCAAAAGGTGGCCGTAAAATTCCTGTAAAACTGTCAAAACCAACGACTCATAAACTGCTGAACCAAAAGCAGACGAAAATAAATGCAAACGCAAATTGAGCCGCTAATTAAATAATAATAAAAGGACGGTGTTTTTTCGAATAATATTCTTTTTTATTTGTTTTTTAAGAGTTTTTTTTGCTTTTCAATTTTTTCTTCTTGGTTTTCCTCTGTGTGAATGTGTGTGTGGGTGGAAATGCACCGCTTTGTTGACTTTGCTGTTGCATATATATGTACGGCTATATAATTTATTATACAGTTGAGGGCATGGCTTAATCTTAAATATTCGGCTTCACTTCACTCTCGCTCTTATAGCATAGTTTTCAACATACCAAAACAAAGTACACAAAAATTTCGTTTAATTCTATGTCATAAAGTTACACCCAAAAGATAAAGTTTGATTTTCTTTTTTGTTTTTTTTTTTTTCGTAAATAAGAAAATAGAAAAGTAGGTACACTAAAATTTAAACGTATATCAAAAAACACAAAGAGGATTTTTTTACACAATTTTCGTTTATTTTGTTGTTGTTGAAATAATTTCAAGTTTGTTGTTTAGCATTTAGTTTGCCTTTTGTTTATAATGTACATCAATTAATATATTACAATTTAGCATTTGTTGTATTTGATTATTATTGGTTTGTTTAAATTTTAAGATTTAGCTATATTCTTGTTTGTTTTCCATTCGATTTCCTTGCTTATATAGAAAGTACATTACTAAGTAACTAAACTTCACGTGCCTATTCATTAAAAATTACCGCCTAGAAATTACAATTTATATTTTGTAAATGTTGTTTATTTTTTTTCCGTTGTGGTTGTATTTTTTATGATCGTTTTTTTCTTAAAGGGTTTATTAAAAAATCTACAATTGCATTTAAAGCTAAAAAATATGACTTAACTGTAAGTTTTTATTTACAGATGTTTTGGAGTTTTCCCATATTTTACTTAATCCTCTCTTCATCTTTTCATCTCGTATTCATGTTTACTTCGCCGCGCGTTAAATTCTACGTTTTTCGTTTCTTGTTTTTCGTTTTGTTTGTTTATAAATTTTTTAGAGTACAATCTACTGGCTATATATATATAATATATATAAACACGGCTTGCTTAAGAACCTAAACCCTAGCTAGAACCGACCGAGTTGTCTTACTGCCGCTGTCATTTTTCATTGAGCCTTCTTAACTTGATCTAGACGACGGCGACAAAGTGTTGAACGAAAAAATATTCTGTGGACTTTTTGGGCATGGAAACATTTACCTTGCTTATGGAGAGCAGCTGAGGAATTTGTTTTCTTTGCTTGTCTTTTTTGGTTTCTTTCTTTTAACACTTGGGTCGCACTTTTAACTAGTTTTTCTTATTCGTTTTCTTTATCCTTCATTTAGTTTAATTTTTTAGCATTTAGTTTTTAGGTTAAAACAACATCACTTGGTTTCACGTTTGATTTGAATTGCGTGTTTCATTCGCTTTATACAAAGGAAATTTTCGTTTACATTTAATTTAGTTAATTTGATTTAATTTAAGCAAGTTTTTCAAACTTTAAAACAAACTAAACTGTTGGATGGCAGCCTCCCCATCTCATCTGCTCCTCCTTTAAGCTGAAGTTTAACACAGATTAATGCACTGGTAAAAAAGATGATCTCTCAATCTCTTATCAACGGACCTCATCTTATTCCTATTTCTACAGATCTACGTACAGTCGAACTTGTCTAACGAAAACATCGAAAAAGTTTATAAGATTAAATTTAAATACACATTTTTATTTAATTTTAGAAAATTCTGATTGATTTTAAAAAAATTTCAGTAGCCAAACATTTGAAACAAATATTTTGAAAAATTACAGATTTTGAAAATAGTGTTACTGAAAAATTCCAAAAACTATCTTTTCACTTACGAAACATTTGAAACTTCTCACAGTTAGTTAAAGGTTAGGGGCAAAGTTCTCGTTAGAGAAGTTCGACTGTACGCTTTTAGGGCTGCTCCCGCTTGAACTGCGGCCACCCGTTCGACACCGAATCCTAGGAGGACTCATAGCCGAACCAGGCGGCCGACGAATGCTATTCCCCGCCCGCTCCGCCCGCCCCGCCGAAGCTGTTGAAGTGTCGTACCGCTCCCGGTGCCGCCGCCGCTCCGAACTGCAGACTCAACTCGAAGAGACGGCGGGCGTGCAACTGCTGCTGCTGCTGCTGGTGGTGGTGGTGCTGCTGATGGTGGTGGTGCTGATAGTGGTGGTGCTGGTGCAGCGGATTCAGATTGAGATGGCCGCCCAACACCGAGGATGCGGATCCCGCTGGCGAGGCGGAACTGGGCGGCTGAAGGGGCAAACCACTATTGCTGCCGGCTCCCGGTGACAATTGGGAATTGCTACTCGTACCGCCGACGGGCTGCTGCTGCGAGTGCTGCAACTGATCGCTCGTGTGGAAAAGGTGCGGATGGTGGGCGGGATTCAGGTGCGGATGCTGGTGCGGATGCGGATGCGGGTGGTGCGGATGTTGGTAGCGCATCGGATCCATGTACATGGCGGCTGCTGCAGCGGCCGCTATGCTGGATGCCTGCTGTTGTTGCTGTTGCTGCTGTTGGTGTTGCTTAACTTGCTCCTCGTTGTTATTGTTGTTGTTGTTGCTATTATTGTTGTTGTTGGTGCTGCTATTGTTATTGTTGTTAGCCTGATTGCCAGCCGAGGAGCTGCCCAGCGGACTTTGCGGCGACATCACCTGGCTGGTCATCGTAGCCGATGATCCGGCACTCGAGGATGGTGTATTCGGTGTGTGTTGCTGCTGTTGCTGCTGGTGTTGCTGTTGCTGCTGCTGGTGTTGCTGCTGCTGCTGCTGCTGCTGTTGTTGCTGCTGCTGCTGCTGTTGCTGTTGCTGCTGGCTTAGACTATTGAGGGATGCAGGAGTGGACGCAGCTGCAGCTGAGTTCGACTCCTGGATTTCTGATTGCTAGTGGGCCGCCAACTGATGCGCCGAAACGGCCGAAGATTGCATATTCTGTGGGCTCAACATGGGCGGACTGTGCGAATGCGAGTGGGTGCCCATGGGGCTGCCGTGCATATCGTGATGCGGATGATAGCCACCATGATGACCCATATGACCCGGCGGCATCCCGTCCATCATATCGCCACCGAGTGTGTTCGGCGGCGTCATGCGCTTCTCCTTTTGCCTTCGATTGCAGAACCACACACGAACCACTTCCTTTTCCAGTTGCAAGGAGTCAGCCAGCGAGGTGATCTCCTGGGCCGATGGCTTCGGCTGCTTGTGGAAATGCTGCTCGAGGGCACCCTTCACGCTCACCTCAATGCTAGTGCGTTTCTTGCGCTTCCGCCCCTGGGCGGCAATCTTATCAATGGAAGTCGGCGATCCCGTGGTGGAGTCCGCCTCCTCCAGCCATTTCTGCAGCAGCGGCTTCAGCTTGCACATGTTCTTGAAGCTCAGCTGTAGGGCTTCAAACCGGCAAATGGTCGTCTGCGAGAAGACATTGCCGTACAGGGTGCCCAGTGCGAGACCCACATCCGCCTGGGTGAAGCCCAGCTTGATCCTGCGCTGCTTGAACTGCTTGGCAAAGGCTTCCAGATCGTCCGAAGTAGGGGTATCCTCCTCGCCGCCGCTTATGGCATCCCTATCCCCGCCGCCGCCCATGTGATGATGGATGTGCAACTGGGGCGATTCGCCGCGCAACGCATGATGCAGTGGCGCCACCGACTGGTGATGAGCCGCCGCAGCCGCATGTGCCGGATGATGGAGCATACCGTTCATCGCATGATGGTACTGCAACGGTGATCCTCCCGTGGGCGCATAGTGACCCGCATGATGGGGGGCGTGCCAGGCGGCATGGGGCGAGGCCATGCCCTGTTGGATGCGCGTCTGCTGGGAGAGATGCTGCGACATCTCCTGCTTGACGGTATCCGCTGCAACCGAGGCAACGGCAGCGGCGGCGGGATGATGGTGCGTATGATGGGTGGGCAGGGACCAGGGGTCCGGATGGAGGGCACTCCATGAGCCCAGGCCCGATCCCAGACTCAAGCCATTGCCCTGCTGACCATTCGGCGACGGCGACGAGGGCAACTGATGATGGGCGGCTGCCGCGGCGGCGGCATGATGATGGTGATGGTGCTGCATGTACTTCATCTCGCCGGCATCCGCCGCCGATCGCGGCGACGAGGTGTGATAGCCACCGCCGCCGCCGCCACCGAGGGCCATGTCCAGATCACCCGACGTCGGCGGGGTCATGTACGAGGTCGCGGCCATCCCCACCGCTCTGGGGCTGTTCAGGCCCTCCACGCTGGCGGGGTAGGGCTCCAAGTTGGGGCTCAGTTTAACGACTTTGTACACCGATCGATCGAAAGGAAGACCAGGGTCCCTATGCTCATTCCACTCGAACCGTGAGGCAACCGTCTTGACGTCTTTTACGAACAACGTGGCAGGCGAAAAAATATATATATCCTATATTTTTTTTAGGGTTTTTCGTTTCTTTCGGGGGCGTGGCGCTCAACAAGTTTTTCGTTTTCGGTCTCCAAAATCCGACGGCAAATTGCAAGTTTCACGTTTGTATTTTTGTAGCTTGACTAGCTTTGGTTATTTACTTTTATTTGTTTGCTTTAGAATTTTTTTCTTTTCGTAGTTTAGCACTCTTAGAACACTTGGCACTTTTTTTGTTGCGTGGGCAAATTTCACCATTCGAGGGAAATTTCGCTTTAGATCATATCAAATATTACTCAGTGGTCAAGACGCGTAACTCTGATGGATGTTTCGAATTCAGATGCGAGTGTTGTTTTCTACTGGGTTGACCGATTCGATTCGATTCGATGCCGAAGCTGGGTACTTGAGATTGTGTGTTTTGAGATTGAGAAATTCAAGAGACAGCCGAGAGCCCAGGGAAATTCACGTGCAGACTCGTAGAGCTATCGAAGTGAACTAACGTCATGTCTCGCACGGCAGCGCTACGTTGAGCGCTCTCGACGCTCGGCGGCACGTCACACAGATACGATTACGCACACATTCGTGCGATTAACGCACACACACCCCGCGTAGAGCGGAACCAGTTTGTCCGCTGGCCTTCCAGCCTTCTGTGCGAGTGAGGAGCACAGCCAGCAGTGCCGCGAGCGAGATAGCTGCAGTCCCACCAAACAACTGGAAGGGAGACTTGCGCTCTATTGGGTTCGGTTTATTCCAGCGTTACGCCCCCCAGAAAAAGAAAAAAAAAAAAAAAAAAAAAAAAAAAGAGTCGAAAAACGGAAAAAGAGACACACGTAGAGCCGGCTCTACGGAGTTTCTTCAGTGCATTCCCATGCAGAGTGACATTTTTAATTGCCCTCCAGTGAGGGCGAGTGAGAGAGCGCATCTCTCGATTTTTCCGCAGACCATCCAACTATCGGGAATAATACCCACGGAGTGAAGTAGAATACCTAGCATACGGTCTCCCGGTTGGAGCTTTTCCATCCAGGACTTCTCTCTCCCTTTGGGAGCTTTGTTTCAGTTCCTTGCAGCTCCTTGGCCAGACAACTTTTCCTTTCATATTGTTGGAGTGTGTGTGTGTTTTTTTCGGGAAGAAAAGGGGAAATCAGGAGAGGTTGCCATTGCGATTTTTTGAAAACATATTAGTAACATATCGTTCAAAAAGAATTAACCAAATAAATTGTACAAATATTTAACTTTTTATCACTGTGCTTTTGAACAGACTACTGCGAACATAACGTGTATATACAGACACGCAAATAATATTGAACTTTAATGCCAAGTTTTTTTTTTTAAGTGATATTAGTTCCTTAGATTTATAAAAATAAATGTATAATGAGAAAACTAAATGTTCATCTTTGGAAACTCATTACAGTATTGGATTGTGTATTTTTTATTTTTTTTTTTAATTGATACAAAATCAACAAATGTTATAAATTCCTTGCTTTACATTTTAAACATTTTTAATTTGGCTAAAATTATCTTTTTCACTATATTTCCAATTTCAAATTAAAGTTTATATAAAAAAGAAGCAAAGTGCCGTGAATCTCTTATCGTTTTTTTGTTGTTATGCATATTAGTTTCATTTGTTTTCAAACAACCAAATTTCTTTCTTTTGCACGTTAACATCTTTCTTTTCCCCTTTGTGAGAGTGACTGTGTTTTGACTAGTTTACAGTTAAATTATGTCCCCCTGACAATAGGTTTTGATTTACTTTATCTGTCAGTTTCATTGATTCTATGGGCAGTTTGCGAAATTGCCGCAAAACTCGTGACAGATTTGCATAGCTAAAGGAATTGCCATAGTTATAGTTATCAAACACTTTGATTCTCAGTGTGCAGTATTTATGTTTTTTGATTTAGTGGAGCTTTGCGGGACAATGGAAAGAATCGAACGGAAAACATCTCAAAAAGTTTATATTCCCTATAACAATGAATGAATGGATCTAGACACAATCAATGGATATTTGAGTAATACTGTTGTTATAAAGAAAATGGGTATATAAATTTTATAAATGTTAACGGAATTTCCTTTATGAAATAAATTTAAAATTTTACTTCTCGTCTTATTTATTTTTCAAATTACACTTAATTACTGAAATTAGTCGTAATAATAAATATTTTAACACGTCCTACCTTAAATACTATCATAACTAATCCTTTTCCCCACATATTAACTCACACCCTCGCCCACCATAAAATTCTTAGCATAGTTGTAGACCTCTTTTGAGGCAGGTCAAGAGCTCAATCAAAAAATTATGCAAACTAAGGTCATCCAACCGAGCAGACGCAAGCCAGACAAGTTCAACCGTATTTGCATGAAATTTGTTTACGTTTTTTTGTCCATGACCATATCCTTTGGCCACGCACTTGGGCATAATTAATAAGCCAACCGTTTCCATCCCAAAAAAAAAACCCAGTGACAAAATAAAGTCACAGTCACTCTCTCGTCGTCCATTCATTGTTCATCCTTAGACAAAAATTTACATGATAATTAGGTGGCGGCGCTAAATAACAACAGTGAGTGAAAAAGCCGTATTTAAATTTCAAATGTCGAAGGAAAAAATCCTGTTTCTGCCGGCCATCCTCCCTCGGTTATTCTGTCTTTTTTTCCATCCATATGCTAAATGCGCACGCGCCGCGTTTTTCGGTTTTTGTGGCCAGGAAAGGACTTGTTGCATAATTATGCGCCGCATGCGAGTAAATAAATGAAAAAAAAAGATGGTAAAAAATGGAAAAGGAAAAAAATAACTAAACGCTGCGTTTATGAATGGAAGATCTCTCGTGGCGGCCGCGACCACGGCGCCGTTGATTTGGATGATAATGAGCTCGATTAGCATTTTGGCTGCATTTTTATATGGCCATCTACCCGACTTCGTCTCTATCTCACACCTCGTTTCCAGTGCCCGTTTTTGGGCGCACTTGTTTATAATTATTAGCATAATTTTCCTTCTTATTTTGCATTAATTTGTTGTCTGGCAAGCGAGAGTGAGACTGAGACCCAAAAACCTCATCGTCCGCTTTGGTAATTAAAGTGCCATAATTTCCGAATCAAGACATATAAACTGGTCTGCTTTTGATCGCTTTGTTTATCGCGCAATACAATTAATGCACAAACACACACATGCTCAATATATTTTTGTTGGGAATACAAGGCGGCGACTAATTTGTGGCAAATGCAAAGCAATTTTATTGGCTTAAGCTGTATTTAATGCATTTGAACAGGATTTTAAGTAAGAAAACCATTTTTTTATTGGTCTGTCCGAAAGCGGAATTAAGTCAATCAGTGGGAGTAGTTTAAGTGTCAACTTGGCATTAACCTAAGCGATTTAAATTATTTTTGCGTCAATGAATATTCTTTTATTCAAGTTTTAAAGATATTAAGAAGATTTTATTTTTTATTACTAACTACTTATGTTACAATTCATCTTTTTAAACTTGATTCAAGCTTTCTATGAACAGATAACTTGATCTCCTTTAGAATAATGGCTTAGAGGACCCCAGTTCATCTTAAAGGCAACCCAAGGAGAATCGATTAAAAATCTCGCAAACAATTAATCCTTACTGTCTGTCCTACCTACATCATCTTCAAAGTAAATTTCATGCAAATAATCCTTGCATCATCTGCCCAACCCAACCCCTTTTTACCTTCACCACCCCCCACCCCTTTTCCTATCCTATCTATTTGCTCATTTGCAAACAAACGTTTCATTAGAGAGACACATCGAAGGCATCATCATCATCCTCAGCTGCAATCCATTTGCGTAAAAAAGAAGCCTCGGACAACTCGTTACCATATGCCCGAACTCTCGATTATTTTTTGCGCGCCAAAAGATAAAAAACCCAAACACTTAAGAAAACAACAGGATGGGTGAGGAAGTCCTGAAGACGAGTCCTTCGACGAAGAAGACAACCCTTGAGCAACCCTTTATTACTCCTCTTTTTTTGGCAAGGTCAACTATCCGTGTAGACAAATTGCATATAGGCAAATGCGAATCTCCCCATGGATGCAACCCAGCCATTTATCATTTTTTCCTTTTGCTTTTTGTAGACCTCCTGCAATTTCAATTTTTGCGATTTTGCATGCAGCGACCGTTAAAAGTCTCTGGTATGCAATCAGGGCGCTTATCCTTTGGGCCCTCCGGCCCAAATCCTTTCACTTTCGCTACCTACCAAGTGAGTTTGCCAAAATTCCAGCACACACATACACGAACACACGCACTGGAAACACATCCTTGCTGTCATATGCAAATTAGCCCAGCCAAAAATAGAAAATTTCTGCGTCCCGCCAAAAAATACACAACGAAATGAAGAACGGAAAAAAATAAAAATGCGAGCGGAGCGCAAAATGGCAATTGTAGTCGAAAAGGGTAGAGGAACAGCAACCCATCGCCCCGTTTTCGGTTTAAATGCATTTTTGGTGCGCCTCATTGGCTTTTGGCATTGAAGCCCGCGACGCCCAACTGTCAATGAGACCGCGCAAAGGGCAAATATGCAAATTAGTTAGCATTTTTCCCTTTTATTTATTAACTAATTTATCTCTGCGGCGCTGTGACACGTCCCATAGGCAGAGCGAACCCGTCAGGGTCGTGAATTATTGGCGAACGCCATAGAGGAGGTACGAAAAAAGCGTTGCAACACCTGGACACAATTTTTTTCCCACTTTTTTTTTGGTGGGGTAAGCATCGCTTTCAATGCTCGTTAAGTAGTTAAGTAGGTTATGGTAACAATCGGATTATTAGAGGGAAATCTATTAAAACTTTGTTTATTTTAGTAAAGCTATTGGAAGTTAAAATTGTATTTACCAACAATTGCTTGTTAGAATATTTTAAATTTGTTCCGATACGGGAAATTTCGAATAATCATTTATTGAGTTTAATTTAAATTATTTTATTTTCTTAAATTTGTTTCAAAAATAAATAAAAGTAAGCATAAGACTCACAACCTTTCAAAAAGACATTTACTTAATTTTTTAAATTAATTGCTTATATTTTTTACGATTTTACGACGTTTAAAACTCCACTCCTAAAGTTTTATAATCCAAAACTTGCTTACAAATAAAATAGTATTTATTAACAATATTACCCATCATAAATATATCATAAAACCAAACTTCAGGTTCATTTAGAGTTACAAAACTTGAATTTGCTTAACTCACTTTCATGACCGGAGTTTCATAGGTTTTGGATTTGATTTCAATTTCGGGAAAAATCCCACAAAGAGGAAAACTAGAAAAATAAATAATTCATTAAGGCGTAAAATCTCCATAAACTTCACTTTTGTGTGCTGTCCTCTCACTTTCAATCGGTTCGAAATGCAATCCAAGGCAAAGCACTCTGCCACAAAAAGAAAACCCAACCCAAAGAAGTATGGTTGGAAAATGTATGAAAATTAAAACTCTGTTCACACCCACCGAAGTGGCGACAGGAAGCCAAACGAAATACAACATACAAGCCAGGCAAAGGGAAAAACATATGT